TCTTTCTTTCTTTCTTTCTTTCTTTCTTTCTTTCTTTCTTTCTTTCTGGATGTCACAGAATCCTTTGTGGAGCCACGTGGGCTTCCTCTGCTGTCTTCTACACTTTTTCCTTGACGGAACTGTTTGCAGTTGTGCTTTGAGAATCTTTAAAGATTTATATGTACCTTTTGCCTTGTTGGGTTAGATCGTTGGGTCCATCTGGTCTGACCTCCATGTTTCCATGGTGCACAGACAAATACTTCACGGAAGCACCCCAGCAGGATTAGTCCAGGTGCTTCCATCCTGTTCCATACAGTGGGCTACCTCCAGAAATCCCGCCATCTGGCATGATCAAATACCCCTCACCAGGAGTTGTTCCTTGGTGCTGCGAACCACTGGGTAGGCTTTGGGCCAGTTGTGGATACTCAGCTTACCTCATGAGGTTGTTGTCCCCCCCTTTATTATTTTTTGTAAATTCAGAGAAAATAAAAAATATAGTATATATAAATACAAATGTCTGAAATACAAATATATGCCATCCAAAATATCAATAATATAACACATAGGACCAAACTAATGAGTGAAAAAGTAAATAACACTGTGTCCCCACCACCCAGGAAACCAATAATACCTCCATTTCATTTCATTTCATATTTCATTTCATATTTCATTTCATTTCATGTTGTTGCTTGTTGCCAGTCGCGAAGTCGCATCCAACCCATTGCTACCTATCGTGAGGACAGGAGAACATTCCTCCAGGCCTTCCTGTCCGCCATCACCTAGAGTCCACCTAAGCTCACACTGACTGCTTCAGGGACTTCATCCAGCCACTTCATCCTCTGCCGTCTCCTCCTCCTTTTGCCATCTATTGTGCCCAGCATCGGGGTCTTCTCAGAAGAAGAGAAGGCATTCTCTTCTCAAAAGAAGAGAAGGAAAAGAAGAGTTTTGGAGGCACAAGCCTTGATGATACCACTAGTTAGTAAGGTGTGAAGGCGGAGGAGAGGCCGCCATGGGTGCGAAAGGAGGTGGTTAGAGGGATTAGACGCAAGAGGAACCTCCGTAGGAAATGGGTACTGGGGCAAATAGACAAAAGGGTATACCAGGAGGAGGAGGCCCATTGCAGAAGCATTCTTTGCAAGGCTAAGGCTGATTACGAGCTGAGACTTGCCAAGAATATCAAGAGCAACAGAAAGGGCTTCTTTCAGCATGTAAATAGGAAGAGGAAGGGGAGACAAGTGGTGGGACCACTAAATAAGGAGGAAGGAGATCCAGTGACTGATATGAGGGATCAGGCACAGATGCTGAATGACTGTTTTGCCTCTGTGTTCTCCCCAAAGCAGGACGGGGAAGATCCGCATAGGAGATTAGATGAGGCTGGGGACTTAGGGGCACAGATTAGAGGCACCCCCCTTGAAGTTGAGGGGCTCCTCAGGGCATTGGACATTACAAAGGCGCCAGGCCCTGACGGGTTACACCCGAGAGTACTTAGAGAGTTGGCAGGGGTTCTCTCATGCCCGCCGGCCTCCATGTTTGAGG